AAAAAACAGAAAAAGAAAAAGAAAAAGGATCAGCAGCAGGGGAAAAAAATATGAACAGCAGGAAAAAAAGGTTGAAAAAACCGTTGATAGAGAATGGAGCCTGAGCAGCTAGGTAGTGTGAAAGCATGGAGACCTCCCCTCTAGTTTCTCTTCGAGGCCATAGTCGAAGGGTCCGCTGCCTGGTTATGCTAGGTCAGCAGCCCACGCTGGGAGTTACGTCCCAACGATGCCAATTTTCCACCATAGGCTTGGTAATTTATGCCCTCAGGTTAACCCTTAGGGTGGATGAACGATGCTTTTTAAATAAACCAAATATATAATAAATTGAGCACTCGTCAAGCTACCACTAAGGGTTGTGCCCTTCAAGTCTTGGAATGAAATAATTCTGAATTACCTGGGGCTGGGCAACTTGTTGATGATTTCTCAAGGACGTCGCCCTTTTTTGAAAAAAAGAAGGAACAAAAACTTAAAGAAAGGAAATAGCTTCAAAATTGTGGGACATCCATTAAATTTTGATGCAGACAAGGTTAAGTAGCATAGTCCCTGCACAGGGATGACACAAAAAGAAAAACGAGGGAGTTCAAAGGAAGGAAAAAAATCGTGAAACACAAATGGCGATAACAAACAGAACCAAAAAAAAGCAAAGCAACTTCACCCGCAATTTCTCGCCAAAACATGGCCTACTTCGGCAACAATTTGGGTTTGATCACACTGCATGCAATTCCATGCTAAGCATAACACAGCCTGTCCGGAAGTTGCAGCACACCTCACATCCATCTGAGCTAAGGGAAAAAAAACAACAAACATGGAATAATACTCACTGTAACCGATTTCTCATCAAAACAGACATCAAATGGGGACATTGGGTAGAGAAAGGCGTATGGCAAGTGCAACATCTCTGGAATGAACCGACAAACAACTGGAAGACTGCAAAGGATCTGCAGAACTTACTAAAAGGTTGCCACAACTTGCAGGCCAACATCACTCACATCATCGAAAACATACCTCTAGAATAGCGTCAGTTATTCAAGACTCATCAAAAGTGGATGTGGGGAGAGTGGGCATCGAACAGAGAACAAACACAACCCACAGTCACAAACAGCAACCTACAGAATAAGAACTGGATACTCTGTTCCATCCATACCCTACAGGAAGCAGGAAACCCAGCTAGTCTCACCAGCAAAGAACCAAGAACAGAAGGGGCCTTCATATCAGCCAACCTCAGAAGAATCCGGGTCATAGAAGGAGACAGAAACAGAGTCTACCGACCCAAAACAGAAACTAAACACCTAGAAATAGATCCAGCTGAATGGTCCTGGACTAGAACCAGCCCGCATTTCACAAGAGAGCGCCGCTATGCACTCACTGACTACACACCCAAATTAGGCTACAAGCTCCACAACAACCTCCCCTCCATACACAATCATACAAAAAAGATGGGAAAAGGAGGAAAACACTATCACAGCAGTCAACATCAACACACCATGGACCTCTATCTTCTGCACAAGACCACCCAAACTAGCTAGTCTGCTATGGCTCATAACATTTTGTGCAGTACCCGTCAATCTCTGGCTATCGCAAAGAAGAAAGAAAAACAATGACACTGAGCAAACAGCCTGGTGCAGGGTGTGCAACACCCAACTCGAAAAATCACTCAGCCATTGCTTCGCAGGTTGCCAAAAGACAAAGCAACTCTGGCACGATATGGAATTAACCATTGATTCTCAGCCGAAGCCGGGTAATGGCCCCGGTATCTCAAATGACTTGTGTAACTCTATATGGGACGCTGGGCCCGGTTCCCAGCACGTGCTGCTCCCGACGAATAGATTGGAGCTTTTGTCCCCCCGCAAAAAAAAAAAAAAAAAAAAAAAGAAGTAGAACAAGACCCACCCCTCAAAGGTTTTGAGCTTTTCCTCTTCTCACTCGTCAAAAAATCGACCCTCTAGGCTATCTGGAAAAGGAGATGCATAGCAACTTTCAAGGATTCCAGTAAGACCCCTGAAACCCCCCTCATAGCCATTAAACAGATGGTGGAAACCGAAATCCAAGCACAATGGAACAGAACACACACAAAACTCCAGTCCCTACAAAATGCCCCAGATAAGAAACAAGAGATCATTAACAAATTCATTTCCCTGAATCTAGGCAACGGGAAACTAGGAACAGTAGAAAGAGAAAGACAGCGCTTACAAGACTGGTTAGTTATGCCCATATCAAATATCCAAAATCCTACCACTCTGACACAAGCCACAGTAACAAACAACCTATTCCCCCTCGCACTTAGTGGAACAGATACCGCTCTATGAACTTTTCTATCCACCCAGCCTAATCACCTACCACCGCACTGCCCCCCCAACGACCGTCCATCATCAAACATCTCCCAAACTCAACCTCACGAATCTAAATAGTAAATAGTAAGTACCTTACCATCCTTCAGGTCTCACGCCCACACCACAAAGCCAACTCACCCACGTCATCCACACCACACTAAATGCTAGCACCGATTACCCATCACACCAACCCCCATCATGATGAACGGTCCAAGCTCCCAATAACAGCTCGGTCCACGCGCCACCCGCCTCCCAGGTCTCTACGGTTTAGGGTTTTAGCTTCAGACGTTACTTTCAAGGTTGCATTCAGACGATACTTCCAGACGTTACTCCAGCTTGGTCAATGAGCCACCTGTAATCGAGGGTTTAGGGTTTTAGCCTCAGACGTCACTTTCAAGGAAAACTGCTCCAAAGGAATCCGGAATTAGAGCGAAGAGGTCCATCACACCCTCTGTCCCGGAAAAATACAGACATGCCACAGGTCCAATTGACAGTGAGGAATAAACAGAAAAGAGACCGGATAGTTCCAGCAGCAGTCAAGTAGCAGACACTCATAGCTTCTAAGAAAATAACAGCCTAGAATAGGCTAACTTAAGCAGGGGTGAACGAACGAGAGGACAACAAGGAGCTACCGCGTAGTGGAAAATTTTTCAGCGCCAGCGCCATCGGTTAGCGCCCACGAACGCTCGCTCCGCCCCGCCACACCGCGCGGCGCGACGCGCTTCCCCGCCCACTGACTTTCGCTTTCGAATTCGAAATTACCCCGTGCGCGCGTCTTACACGACGTCCTCCACGCCTGTCATCACTCAACAACAACTACGAGCTCATTCTAGGACTAGTGAAGACAACGAGTTTCACCCATCGCACGGCTTCCTGCAAGGCCGCCATCGAGCGGCCAACCTCAATGCAAACAACAGCTGGTCAGGCAATAAGCAGCTAATCTCGGGGAGCGACACTTCCAATTGAAACCAAGGCGAAGATCTCCGACGAGTGAAAAGGAGAAGGAAAAAAAAAAAGAGAACGAAAGAGAGAGGGATAAAGACAAGGGAAAGATACAGGGAGATTAGGTGGAAAGGAAGAAGGAAGAAGGGGAGAGGATGTGAAAGAAAAAAGGACAATGAGGAAGTGAAGGCGAGAGAAGGAAAGAGAAAGAGGGAAGGGGAGGAAGGGAGTGAGAAGGATACAGGGAGGAGAGAGAGAGAGAGAGAGAGAGAGAGAGAGAGAGAGAGAGAGAGAGAGAGAGAGAGGAAAAAAGAAAGCAAGGAAAGGACGAGAAACCCCACATCCGAAGGAAAGGCGCATCCAAGAAACAAGAAAGCTGAGGAGAGGTCACGCTCAAGTCAAGAACGCGCCAGCCCTCGAAGTCGACATCAGCCTTCCTAGCACACAATTGAAGGAACTGCCAATGCCATAAGCTCTACACGCGAAACTACTCCGTACACGAGGCACGACAACAAAGGAAACTCAAGAAGACGACTTCCAAATACTGTGAGAGGATACTAAGATAACCTGACTGCTACCCCCCCCTTGCCCTCCATCACTCCCCCTCCCACCCCTACTGCCACAACAAGCCATTCGTCCATCTTTCTCGACAGACACAAATTGCGATATAGATCTACTCACCTACCTTCCCCAAACTAATCCCCCCCCTCAGCCTGTACGAGAAGACATCAACGTATACTCAACAAAACCCGACTCTCCAATCCGATTCGTCCCTGCCCCTCCCTCGTCCGCGTCTCAGGCCCGCCCAGAATCTCACCCAACCCAGACCCATTGCAATTCAGTCCAGACTGCACCCCAGTCCCAATCAAACTCCACCTTTCACCCATCTCAATCCCGACGGGGGTATTCACTGGGAGCCGCCTTCCCAGCCCACCCCATCCCAAATTCTGAATGCTGCCCCTACTCCCACCCCGTCTCATGCGACACACCACCCTAATCCGTCACGCCGACCCCACTCACGCCCCACCCGCGATTTCGACTAGCCCCTAATACTCCCCAACCCCAACCTGATTTTGTCTCTTCCCCGTCACACCCACAACCCAATCAGCATCTAGGGATTATTCCAATCCCGACCCAGTCCCACCTCGAGCAACACCCACACATTTTTCAATTCCAAACGATCAAGTCTCTCCCCCCAGTCCCCCCCTCTCCCCACCCCGTTCCCCTCCCTTCCTCCGCAATCTTCACCCCACCCCTACCCACCACTCCAAGCCCGTTCCGCCCTTACCCCCTTCCCAGGCGGAGACACTCCCCCGCCACGGACCTTGACAGAATCAGAGGCTAACCACCCCACTCTCACCCCCAACACTGACCCCTATTCTATCTCCACCCCATTCTATCTCGGCGCCATTCCAACCTCGATTCGGTCACACCAAGGTCCCACCCACCGGCTCCACCCCAATCCCCCTCCTTTCATGTCACAGCCCCATTCCCCAACACAATCACAGTCCCTCTCCCTTCCCGTTCTGGGCGTGCACCGACTCTGATTCAACCCCCACCATCTTTCTTCCACCCCCACACCTCCTAAAACTCTTATCCACCCCCGTTTTGACGACATCCCCCCCTCTCCCGTCCTCCCCCTTTCCATCCCTCCCCCTCTCCACCGATCCGACCACTACAGGTTTCCCATCCCGCCCCTTTATTGACCATACCCAGACCGTTAACCGCCTTGTTCCTTGCTGCACCTCGATAGCGTATCACATCAACTCATATCTCGACAACTGTCCTCCTGATCTCAGGACGAATCCGATCTCGGCCTACATCTAAATCCCGTCCTCGACCCCGTTCCCATTCCAGACCTTGTTCCCGATCCAGTTCCCTTCCCATTCCTAATCCTGACCACGCACCCGATCCCATTCCCGATCCCGATCTCGCCCCAGCTCCCGTTCCTGATCCCGATCACTTTCCTGATCTTGCTTCTGCTCCCGATCCCGATATCGATCCTGTCCGCATCCCCGCCCCTGTTCTTGACCCTAATCCCGTTCAGTCTCCCAGTCCCGTCCTTGTCCTCGCTCTCCTTCCCGATCCTGTTCCCAGTCCCGATCTCGCTCCAACTCCCTTTCCCGCTCCTGATCCCACCCCAGCCCCAAATCCTCACCCCGTTCCTTACCTCGATCTCGCTCCTGTTCCCGTCCCCAATCCCGAACCAGCCCCCGTGACCAATCCCGATTCCGTTCCCGATCCCAACACAACTCCCTTTCCCTGCCCTGATCCACACCTCGCTCCCGCTCCTGACTCCCGATTCCCGTCCCTGATCCCGTTCATGACCCTGATCCTGTCCATGATACCGATCTTGCCTCCAATCCCGATCCCGATCTCAACCCAGTTCCTGCTTTCGATCATGGTCTCCATCCTGACCTGAGTCCTGAACCGTTCTCGTTACAGATCCAGTGCCCGATCCCGATACTTTCTTGCCTTCCGACCAAACACATTCAGCACCCATCCTCGATTGCATTTAGACCCCACTTTAGTCCCACTCCAATCTCGACTAACACCCACCCCACCCACAACCCCACTTAATACTGCAGTCACATCCCAGCCTCACAAGGATGGAAGGAATGGGCATGGAAACGCAAAATTGGCTCGCAGAAACGACTAGAACTACGCTGATCAAGACCACAAAACTAATTGATCGTGGAGGTAACAACAAGGAAGAGGTGGTAATTTACGAATGCCCCAAGGAGCTAACTGCCAAACAAGAGGAGCTTCACAACAAACACGCAGTTTTATTCACCTTCTCCAAAAAAAGCCAAGAGCTGGACAGACAGGCGAAGCTCAAATGGATTCTGGAAAAGTTGAAATCACTCGAGCCAATCCAAGGACAAGAACCAAAAGTATCCTTTCACCCAAGAACAAGAATTGTTATCATGGTGATGTGCATGGAGGAAACACTTGCCACCTTCCTGAAGAACAAGTGTTTCACCTGCAACTCGTCAGTGGTGACAGTTCACCCATGGAAAAAGGCAGCAAATTTCCAACAAACGCCGTTCAGGTACAGACAGGAACCGATCAAAAAACATTTCTGGATTCAATTTGACAATGTACCAGAAGGCATGCATGGAAGCATCAAGGAGAGAGTCGCAATGGAATACGGTCACTTCAGAGAGACTCAATGGATTGTTTCAACACCGGATTTTCTGACCCCTCAGCACAATCAGATGACGGTGGTACTGGACATGGGAGATAGTCCCCCTCCCTTCACGCCTGATGAATGGTTTTTCTCGCAGGATGACAAAGTCATCAGGATCACGGTTTCCAGCAAAACCAACCCGGTGTGCTTCAAGTGTAGGCAGAGAGGCCACTTGGGCACAAATGCCAGCTGCCCGAAAACGAGAGAGAACACAAAGCCCAAACCTCTCAAAACAGCAAACCTGCAGGAGGTCGAGAACAAAAAAGGATATTGGTACATACCTGATCCGCAGTACGCAGGCTGGGTATTCAATGACAACCTGGACACACCCGACTGGGTATGGACCATTGACCGGGAACCTACCCCCAGCCCTGAAGTGTACCCTCCATACGATAGCAGGTGGCAAATGCTCAAAACGGAAAGAAAGTCACCCAAATGCTTCACCAAAGAGCCGGTTATAAATGTAGACATGTTGAAGCAAGAGATTTGGGAAAGGGACTTGTGTGCGGACCTGAAAACAGTCCAGGAAACCACAGAAAGGCGCTGGGTGGAAGCGGTCAAAAGGCGACAGCAAGACGAACAGACAGCGAAGGAACAGCACAAGCAAAAAACTTACTCCAGAAGGCACCAAAAGGTAAGAGGAAAAACGGCCAGCGATCAGGGAGCAGAGGCAGAAGGGACAGGTGAGACCACAGGGGGGGAAGATGGTGATTCAACCATGAAGGAGGGAGAGGGAGAAAAGAACCCGGTGCTGGGAGTGAAAAGGAAACACATTGATGACCAAAAGGGGGGAGAAGACACGGAGGAGGATCAGGAAAACCCTGACTCTGAAGACTATCCATGGTCAGGTCAACAGGAAAGTGATCTCTTGGATTACATTCAGTTCTTTGAAAAAAAAAGGCAAGACAAGTACGAACTGCAGCTAATACTTCACAGGGAAGAGCAGAAAAATAAGTTGAAAGCTGAGATGTCCAATCCATCGTCTCAGAGAACCCCTTTGCTCCAGAGTATTGAGAAGTCCTCGTGAACTGCCACATTCCATTCCTCTGTCACTGGATCCCTTTGAATGGGGATTATTGCTTGAGATGGTAGCAGCAAGCGTGCTTCCTTTTTGGCCCTTTCCCAGAAAGCTTCGTGTGCTTTGTGCTGCAAATCATGTGCCGCCACTGTGCGGAGTTGCATTTCCCTATTCAGATCTGTGAGCCTTGCATTCTGAGCGTGTAAGGCCTCCACTTGGATGCCCAGTTGTTCTGTGGAAGTCAGTGTCTTGTCAGATTCCTCTTGCCCCTTTTATTTCCCTTAGTCCGCTAGAAGTTGGGTTGGCTAATAGCCCGACAGTCTTTTTCCTTTGCTTTGGGCTGCCTCTTTCAAAGAACCCAGACCGTTTTCCCCCGTACTGGTAGGAGATTGGAACACTACCCAGAACTCCCAGTTGGATAGAATCTCATGGGCAGAGGGAACCACACAAGACCCATCAGAGGTAGCTTTGACTCAATTAATGACAAAACACAACCTAATAGACCCCTATAGACTTCTTAACCCGCAAAAAAAGGACTATACTTGCATTAGGAAAACAGCACTGGGCAGAACCTCTTTTTCTAGGATAGACTTTTTTCTCATATCAGAATCACTACAGGGAGCAATATTAGACACCACAATAGGTAGGATCCCCCATTACGATGGCTTTGACCACAACCCCATCACCATGAAACTGGCACTAACAGATGACACTTCTCCTGGGAAAAGTTTCTTCAAGCTGAACACTTCACTCCTTAATCTGGATTCATTCAAACAAGAATTCAGAGCCAAGTGGGGGGAAATCAAGGACAAACTAAAAGAAGGAGAATTAGTGAGAGACCTTCCACTTTCTATTCGAGAGATAAGCCAATGGGCAAGTATCTTCTCAAAAAGAGAAGCAAGCAGGAGGAAAGCAAGACAACAAAGCCTCAAAGCTATGGTTGAAATAGCCAAATTCAACCTTATAGCCAATCCGAGGGCAACCCTGTATGAACATCTTCTAGAGGAAGCGAGAACAGAGCTGAGGCAATGGGCGGAGTGGAGAAGACAGGGACTAGTGATCAGAACCAGAGTAAGGGATTGGGAAAACAACGAAAGCATGACAAAATTCTTCTTCTAAAAGATCAAATCAAGTCATACGAATAGTATAATACAAGCCCTAAGGGACACTTTGGGAACTACACAAACGTCACCTGAAGAAATCTTAAAAGTAGCAGCAGGTTTCTACCAGAACCTTTACGCTTCTAAAACCTTCATGGAAAACCCAAACAACGTACGAAAAGCAAGAGAAAAATTTCTAAAGTACCTAGACAAAAGTCTCAACCAAGAAGCAATAGACCTTTTAGAAAAAGAAATCACAAATGACAAACTTTTTGAAGCACTTAGGAGCATGCAACCAAACAAAACACCAGGCAAGGATGACCTTCCGAAGGAATTCTGGCAAGCAAATTGGCACCTAGTCGACGAATCTGTTACAGCCTTTTTCAAGGAAGCCTTCACTAAGGGATCTATAGGGCAAGAACTAAGCACAGGCATAGTCATGCTACTATACAAAAAAGGGGATAGAGAAGACATAAGGAATTATAGACCCATAACCCTCTTACCAGTGATTTACAAAATACTAGCTAAGACCCTAGCCAATAGAATCAAAAACGTTACAGATAAATGCTTCCACATAGACCAAACAGGTTTCATACCAGGAAGATATATTTTAGACAATGTCATAACGCTAAACGAGGCTACTAAAATAATAAAGGATAAAAAAGTATAGGCAGCCATATTATTCTTTGACTTTGAAAAGGCCTATGACCAGGTTAATTGGGATTTCCTTCAACTGAGTATGGAAAAGATGGGAGTAGGACCAAATTTTAGAAGATGGGTAAGAGTTTTATATGGAGACGCCAGAGGAATGGTTCAAGCTAACGGTCATCTCTCAGAGAAATACGAAATGACTAGATCGGTAAGACAGGGAGATCCACTAACAACCCCAATTTTTCT